CCCACCTACGCGACCATAACCGCCACCTCCACCTCCACCCCCACCCCCACCCCCACCTACGTACTGGGTCCCACGAAACCAGCCCGCTCCTTCGACCCCTCCCATCTCTTCCACCCACTATGCCAGGACGATATGTAAATCACCCATTATGCGACAACAATGGGCCGATAGTGACCGCTCCACGACGCCTGACCCGAGAGGACAGTTAACGACGCCACACATCGACAGCCGGCATAACAACAAACAATTACGTGTTCCAGTTAACCAACGGTCTGAGTATTCCAGANACGCCACACGCACCGCACACCATACACACACGTCATGCTACGCACACACAACACACCACTGCCACGCACACGCACACCGCACACAACACGGCACCACACCTACGCCCCTCGCAACGCCCACGCACACACACAATCACACCCCACACACATCACCCACAACCCCATCGCACGCACCACACACATACACACCACACACACAACACACACAACCGACGGCCATGCCCGCACGCACCGCACGCCGCACGCAACGCACGGTATTAACTCCGCAGGCATTTAAGCTGTTGTTGCTCAGCCCAATACACTTCTTGAACAGCAATAACGTCAAACACACTTACAAAAACCTAGCCTCCGCTATTCACTGGTACAACATTTATCTCATTCCCCACTCAGCTCCCACTCTAAAAACATCCTTCCTGCCTCGCCTATCAACATTCATTAGCTAAACGTTTATGGCTACAAACTAGCTGGCATACTGGTACAGCTTGCGCCCAACAATATCTGCCACTGGGCATCAAATGTGCTCCATACTTTTACGTGTGCATTGTCAGGCTGACAAACTCGTCTGTTAATGGCGTCTAGCACACTTCAACAAAGCATTTTGCAAACCAATAGTTGCCTCAGCAAAACCAAAATTTAGTATGCGCCAATTATCTTAAAACTCTCTACATTGCCAAATGTCGTTACTGTTACTGTGGAGTATTTTAAAGGGGGGACCATGCTCTTCAGTGTGTAAGACATCCTACATACCATTTGGAGACCGTAGTTCCAACGAGCAACAGAGAGCAGATAGAAAGTTCCCCTAGCGACCGAGGTCAGAAAGGTTCTGCCCCCACACGGACTACAAAGAGACAAGCACGGGGGAGGGTGGGTCTCATAGCTACCAGCTCGTGGATGCAAGCTAATAGGAGACGGAGACGAAAGTCGTCGACTACTAGTGTGGCATTGCACGTCAGGTGCTGAGAGGGCGAGATTGCCACCACACGAGCACGTGGAAAGGCAGAGACAGCGTGCGACGGGGCGACGCTGCGGACAGGGAGGCAGAGATGGGAGACGAGGCCGAGTACAGGGATTTCGACTCAAGGAGAATTGAAGAGTATTGTGGCAGTGTATGCAGGGACGCTCGGACATAGACTGGACAAGAGAGCTTGCATCACCCCAAGTGGCTGCACCGTTGTTGCAAAAAGCGCAGGGGGGCTGAGTATGGGTTGACAACACACAGGCACCATGGGCCCACTGTGAGAGAGGGGCACTGCACGGAATCCTACAGTCACCGCCCTCCAGTGGTCCTATATAAGCCAGCCGAATGATCGAGCGATATAGATCAGTACGCGGTCTTTCGCGACGGCGCGAAACGAACGAACGAGCTACGAACCGAGACAACAGAGAGACAAATCGACACGCAGACGAACAAACAGAACATAGAACAAACAAGACGACGAAACGAAGACGAACGACTTGACGAGATATGAGCGAATTATATGTACGAACGAACGGCAAGTGAACTCGAACAAACGACACGACAAACTACGAAAACGAACGCACACACGCTCACGATACGCACCTACGAACATTCACGAGTGTCACGAAAACAAAACGACGACCGACACGCGCGTCGAATGGCATGCGCACACACACCGTCGGAGGGAGAGCCACACACGAGCAAGACGCACTGCAGTACGCCGAAGTTATACTAGAAAATAACTAAATCTGATATTACTAAGGGAAGAAGGGCCGGGAGATATAGCCTACTCCGGACAGCGAGACACACTGCAAGCACGAACTCGCTGGCGAGCCACGCAGCACACGATGGTCTGAGAGACAGACGAGGGAGCGGTCGCCGTGGGGCGTGAATATAATATATAACCCGTAAGCAATAGCTAAGATGTTAAGTTCAACGTGTATGAAGACCTAACAGAAAGCCGATAAAGCGAAAAACGTGACGTCGAGTGAAATCGTGATATATACTATTAGATTATAAAGAATCTATACGCCACTCTATATTGAGATACGGTGCAATAGAATGCTAATATTCGATATACGATAAAGATATTAAACCATCCGCATTAGTATAAAGACTATCTAAGACTTCGCGTTCATTTCACTCTGGGCCGAATATTTCATTGACTATCGATAGCTGGTATCACGTACCTCCTACCTTTACGCCGTTAGAGCGGAAAATGATCCCTACACAACCATATAATTACAGTGCCTAACCACAGCACGTGGTGAGTAATCCAGATGTGCCACCCATAGGGCCACTACAAATTTTACTGCATATCGTCAGCTAATGCTTGATCGATTATTTATAGAACAAGCTTCGGCCTGTTCAATGTGAAACACCACGATACACGTGTGTTAGCATACGTGACTCGCATGTTGCAGTACAACTGCACCATGATAACCAAAGTGTCACCCGTGAATAAATAAGAATTATTTGGAAATAGCCGTTAAATTGTGCATCAGCAGAGATCGCGCACCGCAGTGTAACCACTTTTTGCCAGAACTGCATATTGGTAGCCATGATTGACGTTACTGCCCCACTAGCTCGCCATGGACAATCAATATGGCCTGGCTATTATCAGCATGCTGTATGCGTCTAGCTCTGCATTAATGTATCATGACCTACTCAACATCAAACTTTTCGAGTCCATATATCTACTTTCGTTTTGTCATCGGCCTACTTTTTGCCTTCTAGGATTTCCTAGGAATTATTCTGATATTTGTATTTACCATGGGATCTAGTCAATGTTCTAGAACTTTCTACAATTTTCCAGAATTTTTAACTTTCTCAGAGATACCTTTTTATGACACTTTAGGTCCATTCCACATTTTCTAAATGTTTACACTAAATTTCATGTTAAATTATAAGTTATTTCCTCCCAGATAATATATGTTAATATATATGTTTAGATATAATTTCTTGGCTTTTATATATACTTTGAATGCCCTAGTCACTATGCATCCAGTCATTTTATGCCCTAAATGCATAAAAACTGTGGGATTGCAGGGAAATAACTGCCAATATTTGCTTTTTTTGCTGTTGTGTCGCCTATCACAAAAATCATCAAAAAGTTAGTTTACATCAATTTAAATAAAAGCCACTAAAGCAAGTTTCATCTTGTCGCCTGATTAACACTAACACCGGTAACCACGCCGACGCAAAACACGCAACTCTGCGACTTTCACGGAATTTAACCCACCTTCGAATTTCACAATGCAGGTCTTCTCGCCCGTCTCGCACTGGTCAGCGCCGATGCATGGTGCCCCCTGGCGGGCGATGAAGCTCTTTGCATTCGTCCAGCCGACGCGGAACAGCCCGACCCAGTCTCCGCCCGCGGGCGTAATCAGCTCCGTTAGCTTGTACTGGCAGTCCAGCGGTTCGCCCGCGACGTAAGTGTCGCTAATGTCAAACACGACTTGTCCGAAGTCGGACTTCACTAACAGCTCGCCGTCGGCCATTTTCCTGCGTCGCACGGAGGTCACGCGAGCAGCATCTGCGAACGTGCGGGAAAACCAACTCTGATGTAGTCTCTATTGCACAGTTACTATCAAATTAGATTGACAAAATATGCGAAACTATGACGTAGCAAGTCAGGTAAACCCATTAATATATGAACAATAGTGTTAGTGCCTATAAGAGCGTTCAATTTGGTAAACAAATTACGCCATTTTGGCGCATGCGCAGTTTCTGGTTGGCAGAACGCATTGCTTCTAAGCCGTGTTTATGCGGTGGCATCGTAAAAAAGAAACGTAATGAGCCATAAACAGGAACAACCAGTAACCAATAACCAGTGCAACAATGAAAAACTCGTTTTCAAGCTTATCAGCAAGTATATTGTTTACAAACGTAATTTTGCCAAAATCTTTACTTGTAACCATGCAAAGTGGCTCAGTGACAGTGTCAGTGTTATGAGTAATGCACAGTCGATACAGCACTGCATGTCAGCAGGTAATACAATTTTTGTGCTATGGTACATCTCTCATTCTATGGTTCTACGGTATATAATTTAGTAACATTATTTATTATTGACTAAAATATTGTAAATGTGTGCATGTAACTGGTACAACATACATAAAAAAGTACATATATACTCATAATTTCTATTTGTGTTCAGTGTAGATCAGTGGACATATGTACCACTTCATCACAGAAAAGGTTCAATTACGCAATCTCAACGATTGCGAGACAAACCTCACCAACACTGGGTGTACATGACATGTGTATAGTCAACTGGGGTTGTGTATTGTGCCCACTGCATGTGCATGGCAGGGTATGCATACTTCTGTAATAGTTTAGATCATTTCTAATAACTTATATGCGTTGCCTATAAATCATACTACATAGTGACCACACTGAGAAAATTCAATTAATCATCAGGCAGATTTAGTCATCTAGACATCACTAACTACTTAAACTTCAAACAAAAATTTACAAGTCCCTTGCTACCAAGTAGTAATAGTTTCAATTGCACATATGTATAAAAAACAACGTAAAGATTTAAATCCATTATTGACACTCCAACCACATTTATGCATACCTACATACATATTTGTAAAGCTTGATGACTAATTATGTTTTCAATTTAAACAAATGCCAACAATTATCTATCATGTTGACATTTATTATGCAACAATATTCGTGCCTACATGTACGTATTCTCATTGACAGACTTGGCAAAACATGCAGCCACGTAGCGGCCCTGCTATTCAAAGTCGAAGTCATCAACTAGTCGGGCATGTGAATGGAATAAATCATTTCGCAAAGAAGTAAGTATACTGAATATAAATATCATTTGTTTCTCAATTGGCCGACCTACTTCGTAAATGTTACTAAAACATATTCCCATTACACTATTAAAATGATTTATGTTTTTTGACAGTATGTCTAATCGCTTATTACATCGTTGCTTAAAAATACATTATCTATTATTATTCACTCCTGATTATATTGTAGTAGTTTATTTTAATAGGTGCATTTTATGTTACAGTTACAGCCAGTTACCATAGCAGATTCACAGTACATTTTAAAAGGTGCCAGAAAGAAGAATGTAACTTTAGTGTCTGGAACGGAAAAAGCTCAGCTTTCGAGTGATGCTGTTCTCCTTTCCTTGAAGCAGGCATGTTCCACCGCCATGTTCTTTGACACGATCCACCCTGTCGGCGATGATGGCGAGGAAACTGACAGCGCTGACGAGGAGGAGCAGTTCGAGACCTATCGGTCCCCTTATCTCACGTCATTTTATATTGACTTTATTGTATGGATGAAATGCGAGTTGCACATGGAGAGGATTACATACGATGCAAAGTTCTGTTGGCGAGCAGTATACTGCAATAGCACTTTGTAGGGATTTGTTCATGCGACACATACTTCCAGAGTTAATTACTTAATTATACTATTAATTACTAGCATACTTATATTATTGGCTTTATATAGGTAATTTCTGTGTATTGATCTACTTGGGTGCAGGGTTCTCCAAGAGCACTTAAAGCCTGGCGGCCCGCCAAGGTATCGTCGAGCCCCGCCATCCTAAAATGCACCCGCCACTTTAAATATCCTAGCCGCCATGCTAAATATCATAGGCCCCGGACCCCCCTAGCACGCGAACCGCCTTCGACGATTTGCAACTAGGACCGTAAAAGCAGCACCTCCATGCTATAATGAAAAAGCTTGGAGAACCCTGGGGTGATTATGTGTATCTAACAAAGATATTACTAATGTATACGTACTGTGTATAACACATTTTTAAATTTTTAAATTATAAATGCTCATCTAGGTTTTGCTAATTGAATGCACCTACGTCAGTTAAAAGATGTTGCATATTTCTTCTAACAAAACTGTCCATACATTCATGTTTGCTGATTTTTAGCGAGCTTGCGACTAAATCCGAACCGTGAATTGACCGTTTACTGCTGCAGGTTTCTAAGCTAGTTGTCATAATGTTCTATAGCAAATGCAGATATAATGAATAATTGTATTAGGTCAAATAAATTTTTGATTGACAAACAAATTATCGCTGACTTTTAGAAATTATTGTTATTATTATTTCTTATTTTAAGACTGGGTTATATCGACGTAACTTTGTAAATGACAAATGGAAATTAAGGAAAAACCCCTGACATGTAATTTGCAAGATAACATTCACTCACTCACTCACCACTCACACACTCACTCACTCACTTCCACTCACTCACTCTCACACTCTCACTCTCACTCTCTCACTCTATATATCTATCTATCTATCTCTCTTTATTTAACATTGACAAGTCGAGGATGCAAATTAACAGTGGCAGAGCAAATAGTGATGATGTTGTCAGCATGGGGAAAAAATATTCATTGACATGATGGTGCTGAGGACTTTGACATGTTTGATTCGCTCAATCGAACGTCCAACGTGGATACAGACGCTAGCAAGCTTTCTCGTTTTTTCGACGTCTCTCTGACTCGACTGTTTCTGCATGGCCGCGAGTAAATGCTGGTATTAAAAGGGATACATTGCTTGCTGCTGAATCCTCACTTATAAGAAACCCCCCGTTAGCAGCTAAGCTAACACTAATTAAGTCATGATACTCAATAAGATCCGAAAATCATGATCTCTGTTAGCTCTAGTACTATAGCCCGCATACAGTTGCCGCAGGGCTATAGAACATTTTATGCCAGGTTTCGTAGCTGCACCTGTCTCCCAATGTCTCCACGAAAAATGGCTCACAAAACGCAAAATGATCGGTCTTTTTGACACTTATTTATCTACATAGCCATCTCACCTATCTTTTTGAACACTTTCCACAAATTTACACCATGTATTTATGCATTTATTCCTCAAAGTGCTAGCATTACTTGCGTTTCGTTTTGAATTGCTGTTGTGTACACGCGTGACGTCACCCAAAATGTAATAGGATGCATTATAGCTGCCCATGTGTTTTGTCTACATACCGATCGCGAGAATTTCATGATTTCATTCGTGATTTTGCGTGACACAGCTCTGTTTTGAACTGAGACATAATATTTCTACAACAAGTGAACACTGTTCTTCAATTAGCAGCAAAGATGGAGTCGGAAAGTTGAGTATTTGTGTTGTAATCATGTGAAATGCAGCGAGCGTCGAGCGAATTTCTGGCGCACGCTTTCTTACCTGCTATATATTTAACTGTCGCCGTGCACAGCACACGACCCCTGCGTATATATTTTATTGAAACGCTTCAAGTGCCTGTGCTTGAACTTGAAGCGTTTCAATAAAATATAATGCTAAATAAATAGGCTTACGATTCACGAAATCTATTTACTACCAAATTCTTAAAGGCTCACAATGCGCATCCAAACGCTAATTTCTCCAGTACTAGACTAGCAAATACTTCGTGTCATGCATAATCACACTACCTTATGACAAAATAAACTCTAGTTGCACCCATTTCACTGCGCGTTTGCTTAAAACCCACAAGAAAGAAGTGAGAAAACTGGCATTCTGGCGCAAATGCCGACTGTTTCCCAAACAAAATAGCCTCAAAGTGGTGACGTGACGTCACGTTTTTATCTTTGCTGCGCCCGTACCGCTGTACCGCGGCACCGCTGCACGGTTGCTTGAAGATTGGGGAAACTGTCAACAACATCGGAGAATTTCAACAACATTGGAGGTATTTTCAAAATACCTTTTATAAGACAACGCGCAGTGAAATGGGAGGAACTAGAGTTTATTTTGCCATAAGGTAGTATGATTATGCATGACACGAAGTATTTGCTAGTCTAGTACTGGAGAAATTAGCGTTTGGATGCGCATTGTGAGCCTTTATCTTTAATGTTTCTCCTTTCACCTATTATTTCCAGGAGAAACATTAAGAATTTGGTAGTAAATAGATTTCGTATTTATTTAGCATTATATTTTATTGAAACGCTTCAAGTGCCTGTGCACTGAACAGGCACAAATTTGATACAGTCGGTGTCAGTCACGGCCACACCGAGTCTGTGAAACAACTGAAGTAAACAAATCTTACGTGATCATGCAACGATGGCTCTTCGTCTTCGCCCTTGACTTTGAAGTATAGACGTGGAAGCTAAAATAAACCTGTTTATAGTAAAGCAAATCAAAAACGATCCAATTACCTGCTACTGCTAAAGACCTTCTATAAGATGTTACTGTTAGTGTTACGAAAGCGATACAGTTTAAAGTTCAACCTTCCTCTATCTCTGGGAAATGACGAATTTGCAAAATATTTGTGTCACGTGTCATGACAGGCAGCATCGCCTAGCGGAGATGTTATTCGTTTGTTTACAGCGCCACCTTTCGGTTCCTAAGGAGTGATCTGACGTTTTCACTCTGCGTTTTGTGAGCTGCTGGTCCGGATGTAAGTGGATTTTATCGTGTTCAACTTCATTCATTAGTTATTATCAACTTATCTGATTAGCAATTTGCAAATTTGAATGTATATTGGTGTTATTTTTCAGCACAGACATTGAAGAATCGATTCTACGGGATGGCGCCGCCGACTAAAGTCACAATCATAGGTTCGGGTAACTGGTAAGTTAATCGATTGAATTTCTGCACCATTTTGATATGCAACGTTATCCATGGGTGTATGCAGGGGGGGGGGGTCGTGAGGGTCGTACGACCCCCCAAAAATTTCAAAAGGTCCACATTTTTTCCAAAGACATTTTTTTCGAGGGCCTTTTCACAATGACATAAATGAAAAAGCATAATTGATCAGGTACCAGCAATGAGTCCAAAGACCTTGCCAATTGCGTGACGCAAATCTATCCCAATTCCAGCAATTCTGAAACTGAGCCTTTTTTTAAACACAATTTTTTGTTTAAAAAAACTGAGTTCAAAAAAGAGAGACAAAGACTCTGACAAAAACAAAGACAAAGACAAGACAAGATCAAGACAAAGACAAGATAAACAGTTCAAAAGACTGTTTTCAACTGAGTCAGAAAACTTGTTTAAAAAAACTGATCCAAAAACTTCAAATTTTTGTTTTAAAAAACGGACTTTTTTTTGGAAACAAAATTTTTTGGTTTCAATTCAATTGTAATTGTATTGACATTTTAATCACACCTTGCTGTTATTTCATTGTGAAAAGGTCCAAAAAATTATGATCACGACCCACCCAGAAAAAATCCTGGATACACCCCTGTTATCTATGTAAAAACTAAATCATTGATACACGTAAATCCTTGTACTTGTAGTTTGCGAGTACATGTGAAAAGCGATAAGAGTTATGTGCTACTATACCGTATACGTCGTGTCAGCAATTTTCCCCTTTACTACTGTAGACCCTGTGTGTGGGACTGGGACTGGGAGATGCAATCACTAATTTGTATTGGCAAATGATTTTGAAGTACAGTATCATAAAACACATTGGTATGGTTATCATGCTACGTACGAATCACTGGTCTATCATCAACTCTACTCGAGTTCTCATAGATTGAATTTACGAATGTAGTACTACTAACCCAAAGGGAAGAAAGCTAAACCCAGACATTGATTAATCTTCAAAGTCCAAGGGACTTTCCGAAGACAGAGAGAGTCAACGTTGATCAGCAACGTGTATTGCTCATCAAGGGGAACTTTACCTCATAAATATTAGTCTGCAAGAACCAAATAATCAGATTGTATACTAGGAAAAAAAGGTGCAATACACCTTTCCCAGTTTTGACATGAAATGATGCATCTGACACCTTCTTTGCTCATATATTCTAACTATTACTATACTAGATGTGTAGCTATTTGTGTATCTATAAACGTATATATACATCCAGAGAGACATGATACAAGATTGCGTGGCACAGCTTTGCTGTTGATCCTGAGCGCCGCGCACGGATGATACGCGCAGTTCCGCGGCATATGCGCACGCGACCGCGGTGATGTTCAAGTATGAAGCGCTGTCCGCAGTGGAGACGTGCGCCAAATTCGAGGCCCGGCGCACGTCACCACAGCGGTCAGCGGATGGTCTGTAGTCTTAGAAGATAACAATAAAGATTTTGTTCTAAATAAGAACTATCGGCGGCTAAATAAGTGCAATATAAACACCTTTGAATTTCTTGACTAGTCAGTCAAAGGGCTTGTTGGGGGTTCATTATGCAGAGCTTCCAATTGAAATGGCCCATGAAATTGTCAAGTGGAATTGTGTTTTTCGGAACTCCAAAGAAAATGTCTCCCTCTTACATGCACCCCCTCCCTGATCAATGACGCATTCAGGCGTAAACAATAGTGATGTCACGATCATCGATTATACTCGATCATCGGTTGAACAGTGGCTCGAACCAAGTGCTTGCATGGTTATCAAAATCCATAATCAATTTCATCAAGAATTTTATTTTTTTATTTTTATTTTTTTACTTGAACAAGAAAATTTGGAAAAGTGATAAGAATCAGAGATATCATCGCTACTATACAAGTTATCTTTTATTAACATACATGTATTATACACACAGTTACACACAGTAGTAAACAGTGCAAAACAACCAGTAAACAGGGCTAAACAAGCACATACATGTACACACGTACATGCGCACGACGTTACGCACACGCAGGCATTCAACACCCCGAGTAACCGATTGTAACCGATCATCAGTTACTTGGGTCCAACCGATTGACAACACTAGTAAACAATAAGAGAGATGAAATTGTGTTGTTTGTGGCTCTTGACGCACGTGCATTGACGTACAAGACCGTTGAAAGCACAGGCACTTGGAACGTCTTAATAAAAATAAATATTCATACAATTTTTCACAATGATTGACCGGAAATGCGAAAATGCAACAGAAGGACGTAGCGTTGTGCGCTAAACAGCGTGTTATTGTCGTATTTGTGGCAAACTCTATCGTAGGAAACCGTTCTAACATAGCAGAATGCCCTAGTTCCCGAGATCGGCAATTTGGTGGTCGAATGGGTCCCCATCTTTAAAAATATCAGTCTGGTGCGGCGTAGGCTGTGATTGGAAGACACAAAGTGTCAATCCTCGGCGCGCCTTGTTATCATGGCCGCATCACGTCCAGTGTGCTATATGTGTGTGGGGAAACTGAGCCATTTTTTAAACTGTTAGTTCTGGAATTGTCCATTAATTACACTTCTTCACATTGTAATGAAGCTTTAATAGCCATTTTTGGGTCATAGATGTATTTCATAGAACATTCGCGTTGCGACGTGCCAGTGGCAGTAATATTATATATATACTATATATATATACTTATTCTATTATATATATAATAGTATATATATTATATATTGCAAGAGCGCATCTTAACCCGCGCGGCTTAATCAGCTCTTTGCTGATATTATTATACTAATTTTTATGTGTTTGTATATTTGTATTGTATATAGTGTAATATATGTAAATAGCGTAGCATATATGTGCCTCTCATGTATACATGTGTGTGTGTGTGTGTGCGCGCGCGTGCGTGCGTGCGTGCGTGCATGCGTGCGTGTGCGTGTGTTAAAAGCATATTTATTTAGCGCGTATCTGCCTCTCACGTGTGTGAGCCTACACATATATTCAGGAGTCTATCAATAGATAGAGTCTATTGATAGACCCCTGATATATTTATGGCACGGGGAGTCCCAGCAAGGCCGTACTGCGTTGCACATGTATAGGCAGACACGCTTGTCTGAGGGCAAGGAGTGGCACGTGTGTGTCCATCCTCTCACCATATCTGTTTCGCAACAAGATATTTTTGGCTGTTGAAACAGCAAGCCTAAGCGTTTCTTCGACCTAGATTCGGCAACGTGTTTCTGAAAATCTCCCAGGTGCCCATTCCACATAAACATCATACACGCACGATATGAGGACTTCGATCGGAAACCACTATAACCAACTTCTCGGAGACATGAGCTCTGTGTTCGTGACGATAGTCCCAGGCAGTAACAATACTCAATAGCAATAATGTCATGCGTATAAATGTAAGCACGTAATGTAACTACTGGCAAAATTAGCACGCTTTTTGCCAAGCTGTGATCACTCTAGTATTCCTAGGAAGGTGTAAGGTATGCATGCAGCTGAGTATGAAATGTGGCGGGAAAACATACTAGGGAGTATACTATTCTAAGATGTTAAATGTATTTTTGATTTTTACGAGTTAAATTGCGAAACATGCTGTTTGTCACTTCGTCTGAAACCAAAGGAATTTAGCCGCTATATGGCTTTTGGACCCAAACAGCTTCACAGAAAGAGCGTTTCGTTCTATATTTTTATCAGTGGCCACCTCCGCAGTAGAGCATGTTACCTGTATTAAGACGTCTAACTATTTACAGTACATGTAATAAATAGTATAAGGTGGGGTGCCAGTTATCTGGTATGTTTTTAACCGGCATGTTAGTGGCGCGGTATCAGAAGAGTACGAATGTGTGATGTAGTATCTGTAGTTTGGTTATCCAAGATATAACCCACCATCGGTGGTTGGAGGACTTGTAACGGAATTTTCGACGTGAGTTTCCACATATAATCTCATTGCTTTACTCAAGAAATTGCAAAATACAATAATATGACTAATACAGCGTAGTAAATAACTAAGCGGTGCACATGAATCACAACTTCAGCGGTTCGGCTTACGGTTTTTCGGTTTTCACTTTCAGTTGCGGTATATTTTCGGTTCGAATATTCTGGCATTCACATTACAAATCTTATAACACCAAACAGAAGTGCAAATTTAATAATCATGACTGGTTAATATAAATATTAATAATAATCTCACTTAAGAATCTTTTGAACAGACAAACCTTTATTAATACACATACCCCAATGTTAGGGCAAATTCAACAAAACCTGTAGCAGGAAATTCAAATATTTGACTTCAGGTAAAAGTAAGCCAAATAGGCAAATTATGTCCAATAGTCCATCTCAGTGTCTTGTAGCTTCATTGATTAGGTGTAACGAAACACATGCCGCAATTATTTTGACAAGTACAAATGAACGCGATTTGTCCTTCTCGTGGCATGGTAGCAATGTGGTCTATCAAATTGTTATCTGCTCGCTGATTGGCCGACGCCGTTTACGACCAGCCAATCGCAGTGCGCTGTATATCTCCAAAAGCGCGTAATATATATCGAGTATATATAACAAATTATGGAACCCGAAACCGAAGCCCCGTAAAACACGGCACGAGGTCGAAATATCCGAATGGTGGTGCAAAACCGCGGTTTTCGGTTACCTGGGCGGTTTAACCAGTTACCACACTAGTAATAACCTAACTAAACAGCGTGTGAATGAAACAAGTAACACTAAATAATCGAATCCACGATCAAGGGGTGGCAGGAGGTTATGTTTTCAGCCGGCGTTGTGTTTGCTTGCAGTTGTGCGTGTAACAGGCCTAACACTGAAAAAGTTATAGACAGGATTGTCATAAAATTTTTCAAGGATAGGTCAGAATCTGCTCCTACTTATAATTGATGAGACATTTTGTGGCTGGTGATCGAATGCCAATTAATGATTAAGTTACATTAATAAATTTCAGGATAGGTAGACAAGGGGTAACTTAGAATTGATTTACATTTTGGTGGTTGATCCGATCCAATTTAATTAATGTAATTAATAACATATTTCAGGAATAGCGTCAGAAATGCGGTAACTTAGAATTGATATACATTTTGGTGGTGATCGCGACTCCAATGAATTTAAGATATTAATCAAAATAAATTTCACATGCAGAGAATTGAGCTGCCTTGGCGGAGGTCTGTGCTCTCCGAGTGCTCTAGTTGAATAGATATGATCCACGCTCGGAGGAACACCCGGAGATACGCAGTCCTAAAGGCTGATTAGGAACAGCTCTGGGGACTACTTGAAATGTTAGGGTCTGTGCATTGCCGATTAGAAAAAAACAATGTTCGAATAAATCCAGGACACTAACAGACCACCTACTACGTACGGCATATAAACATGTATCACAGATAACACAACGATCTGGTTTTTCATATAGTATGGCATGTTAGGACCAGTCAATTCGGGGTGATCCCTCAAGACGCGAAAGGTCGATAGACGAATAATTGAAAAGGGACCTATAGACGCAGCGTCCGATATGACCGAAAGATTTCATAAAATCATAGTTAAAGATAACTTTCAGTTAATTTGTTACCAAACACGTACACGCACACAGCACACGCGCACCCGACACGTACATACAGCGATCTACACAGACCAGACACGCACACTACAGTGTGTGAGCGCTACGATGAGAACTTAGATTTTTATGACATCTGAATGACGATGTTAGATATTCTACCGGTATAGCTGGGACACTCCAGTGTGTGTGGTGTGTGTTGTGTGTGTGGTGTGTGTGTGTTGCGTGTGCGTGTGCGATGTGGCTGATGGTTGTGGCACTGTTGCGTAGTGCGTCGTGACGCTTCGCGTGTGTGTGGAGAAGAGAGAGAGCATAAGAGCGATCATGTGTCGTGGTGTGAGAGTAGAGGTGTGTGTGTGTGAGAGAGAGAGAGAGAGAGAGAGAGATTGTCCCGTTGCGCAATCATGCGTGTACGCGAGTCGCGAGATCACTGTCACAGTGTGTGAGTGGATGTCCGGATGCGTAGCCTGGAGGCTAGGCGACCGGACGCGTAGCCACTGCGTATTCGAAAATGCATCTTTACACCTTGAACACATAACCTTCGGTCTATAGGGCTGTAACCGTCAATTCAATCACTTTATTTTACACTTATAATATACAAATTACATTTAGCGGAAAGTATAACATGAAACAAAATAAATATATACAAGTAATGGAGGGTGAATTGACAATACAGTCTTCTAGTTAGCCACTAGTCTTCTAATCAGCCACTGGAAACACCCAGTTGGGGCATGCATAATGGTTGGACCATGCAATGCTAGTACTAGTCCACTCCATCTTCCTCGTGTCGTGCACAGCATTGCTATCTTGCTGACCGCAGCTACATTCGCGTCTAGCGTTCAAGGTCACGGACGGGTGTCGAGTTATAGTTGCCATGGGAGCGAGGGGAGCCCTCCTGCCAATAGTCAGGCGTTTTCCCTCCTCATTTGGTGATCGCCATTATCATAATAAAATACTCTATGAAAAAATAATCTATATTTATCTAATACAATGTATATAATTATCTTAAACTAATCTGTAGCTGTAGGTTATTGTTAGCATCATTAATGTAATCATCGTTACAGGCGCACGACTGCAGGTCATTATTGACATGTAATAATTGTTACAGGGGCACGGCTGTAGGTTATTGTTAGCATCAATGTAATAATTGTTACAGGGGCACGGCTGTAGGTTATTGTTAGCATCATTAATGTAATCATCGTTACAGGGGCACGACTGCAGGTCATTATTGACATGTAATAATTGTTACAGGCACACGGCTGTAGGTTATTGTTAGCATCATTAATGTAATCATCGATACAGGCGCACGACTGCAGGTCATTATTGACATGTAATAATTGTTACAGGCACACGGCTGTAGGTTATTGTTAGCATCATTAATCATAATGTAATCATCGTTACAGGGGCACGGCGATCGCTAAGATCGTCGGTCACAACGTGCGACGCAGGGAGCGGTTCGACAATGAGCTGAGGCTGTTCGTCTACGAGGAGATGGTCGACGGCAAGAAGCTGTCCGAGATCATCAACGAGACGCACGAGAACGTCAAGTACCTGCCGGGCGTGCGGCTGCCCGACAACGTGGTACGTCACAGACGCGGCGGGCGGGCGGGTGGGCATGCGGCTGCCCGATAACGTGGTACGTCACAGACGCGGCGGGCGGGCGGGTGGTTGGATGGGCGGGCGGCTGCCCGATAACGTGGTACGTCACAGACGCGGCGGGCGGGTGGTTGGATGGGCGGGCGGTTGGATGGGCGTGCGGCTGCCCGATAACGTGGTACGTCACAGACGCGTCGGGCGGGTGGGCGTGTGGCTGCCCGATAACGTGGTACGTCACAGACGCGTCGGGCGGGTGGTTGGATGGGCGGGCGGTTGGATGGGCGTGTGGCTGCCCGACAATGTGGTACATCACAGACGCGGTGGGCGGGCGGGAGTGCGTGCGGCTGCCCGACAACGTGGTACGTCACAGACGCGGCGGGCGGGGATGACAGAGTGTGCCCTACTAGTGGGCCCTACTCACCCTGTGCTCTGTCTAGCTGTCTCACCTAGAGTGAGCATTCGTGGGTATGGTGTATTACTGTAGTCTGTAACGTCTTAGAATTACTAATATATATATATATATATATATATATATATATGGCTGAAACGCACTGAGACTTGCTTAGCACCATGCGCAGTGCTACAGTGTGTGCGCAGAAACGACACGTACCACTCAATCAGCACTCTTGATTGTATACAATCACGCCACATATATTGAACCAGATTAGCTTGCCTTACTCACCGTTTAACATCCGTATGATATCGTTTGCATCGACGTATGTTGTACGAACGCTGCGTATCGATTATCATATCATGGGTCGCTTGCATCGTGATGCAGCAATGTATCGGTGCATCGTTACACCCCTAGTAGTGCGCGCCCGGGCCCCCTGTTCGATTTCACATCCGGCGAGAGCCGCAGGTCTGTCGTAACCGCGGCGACTGCATCGCTTTTGCGCAGGTGGCGGTGCCGGACATCAGGGCATCCGTGAAGGATTCGGACATCCTCGTCTTCGTCATCCCACATCAGTTTGTGAAGAACATCTGCGGTCAGCTGAAGGGAGCGGTCAAGTCGACCGCGATCGGACTGTCTCTCATCAAGGTGACGACAGTATATTATATTCTACTGACTGTATTGTATCGTATTGTATTTTACTGTATTGTGTTTAATATTGTGTTGTATTGTACCATATCGTATCGTATTGTAATATAATTGTATTGTATCAGGAGCATTGCTGATGTGTTGCTGGACTGTGACGACAGCGTTGTAGCTTGTATTATCTGATTAAGAAATGGTGGGAGTGGGGGATATCTAGGTAGAAAATCTGATCTTGCCCCGATATAATTACTGTCAAACGTGTTGGTGGACTCCTAGGTAGACTCGCCGCCTGTCTGTAACAGGCACGTTCTTGCGAGCGGCAATTGTACAGTGAAGCTACCTGTTTAATTGTATACCCCACGACGAAGTCGGCGGGAATACTATGGTTTCATGTCTGTCCAGCCGCCGCAGCTGCAGACACTTTCCCTTCCGCTCTATAACTCGACCCCTAATTGACCTAGCGTGACCAAACATGGTCTACTTACACATCTTGGGGAGAAGGTGCGCAGCGTACCAAAACCAGGTCACTACGACCTTTATTTGACCTTTACCTTGACCTTGATCATATTTCCCTTCCGCTCTATAACTCGACCCCTAATTCACCTAGCGCGAGCAAACTTCGTATACTTACACATCTTGGGGAGAAGGTATGTCGCGTACCAAAACCCCTAAGGCAACCAATTTTAACATACTTGCACATCTCAGGCAGATGAGTTGTGTAACAAACCTTTGTCTTTGTGACTTATTTAACTTTACCTACCTTCTACGTCCTTACAGAGATATTTCATTGATACTAGATCACGGGGGATACATGTAGTTGGCGACAACTGCCCTTCCTAGTTTTTTTTAATTTTTACAATTTTTTTATATTGGACACGTGTCTGGTAAGGAAACTTGATTGACAATTTATTCAGTGAAACTGCCTCCATAGAACAGACAGGTCTGTTGTCTATAAAGAAGATTTTTGGCATTAATATCGGGTGGCAGTTATAGTATACAGTGAAACTGTCTCCTTAGAACTGACAGCTGTCCATGGGGGAGACTTGTGGTTCTCCTTGACTGACGCCTATATCTAGGTTCGACTCCCAACAGACAGGAGCAGCCATCCTGGATCGCTGGCTCCTGTTGTTCGTGATGTATTTGCGTTGGCTGGTCCGACCTGCACCGTCTTTGCGCGCACACCCTAACCACACATGCGTGCCAATTCGATTTTATAGAGGTTGATATGCAAAAACCGATTATGTGTTTTTGGGCGAGGAAGGGAGGGGCACTCGTATGTTTCTCGACTGACGCCGAACAACGCGGGCGATCAGTAGGTTGTCACTGCCGTAATTGAGCCGTGAGCGTGACAAGTGCAACAGATTTGTCGATGTACGCGAACTATGTTTTACACTTAAGAGCTCTGTGGGGCTTTGGCTAAAAGTGTTTCGTGTAGCAAACGACTAGATCGCTGAGCACTGAGGCCATCCTTAAAAAATTATATGTTTGCTGTCCTCCGACCGACCCACGAAAATAGCCGCGACCCAAAAGTTTTTTGACATTTTTTGTTGACATTTTTTTACATTTTTTACAGTTTTTTTACATTTTCATATTTAAGACTGAAACACAAAGCATGTGTGGCAAACATGAGGACAGACTTAAAATAACTATTATGCCTCACAAAAAAAGACCTACCTACATACCCACTAAAAATATCATGGGTCGGGGGACAGCAAACATAGAATTTATTAAGGATGGCCTGATAGACAGACCTTTGTAGAAACATTTACCTACATGCTCTGCTAAAAATATGTTTTACCTGTTTATCTATTGAGATGCTATGATCAGTAAACTGTGATGCAATGCTGGCAGCTCTGTTTAACTACATAGTGTGATCTATTGAACTGTACACCAAATTGTGATGTGGGTGTGGTTCGTATTTTTTCCTGGATTGTATTTTACTGTATTGTTACCTCCGCGCAACGGAGTTGCAGGGAGGTAATGTGACCCCTCTCGTGTGATGTGTTCGTGTGTGTGTTCGTGTGTGTGTGTGTAGCCAGCAGCGAGCCAGCTGTTATACACATGTATACATGGTACACGCGTTGGCGCGATCGATTCAGCACCAGCTCGCCTTAGGCCGTCCAGTCAGCAGCAGCTCGCCTTAAGGCGTCCAGCCAGCAGCAGCCCCTAATCCTCTCACCATATCTGTTCGCACAATATTTTGGCTGTGAACAGCAAGCCTAGCGTTTCTTCGACCTAGATTCGGCCAAACGTGTTTCGAAAATCTCCCAGGCTCCCACTCACATAAATGATAAACACATACACAGATATGAGGACTTTCTGATCGGAAACACTATAACCAACTTCTGGCAGACATGAGCTCTGTGTTCGTGACGATAGTGGCAGTAACAATACTCAATAGCAATAATGTCATGTATAATGTAGCACGTAATGTAATAATGGCAAAATTAGCAGCCTTTGCAGCTGTGATCACCTAGATCCTAGGAGGTGTAAGTACTGCATGCAGCTGAGTAGTGAAATGTGCGGGAAAACATACTAGGGAGTATACTATTCTGAGATGTTAAAATGTATTTTTGATTTTTACGAGTTAAATGCGAAACATGCTAGTTTGTTACTGTCTGAAACCAAAGGAATTTAGCGCTATATGGCTTTTGCACAGCTTCACGAAAGACGTTTCGTTCTATAATTTTATCCAGTGGCCACCTCCCATGTAGAGCATGTACCTAGTATAAGACGTCTAATATTTACATACATGTATAAATAGTATAAGGTGGGTCCAGTGTATCTGGTTGTTTTTAACCGGCATGTACTGCGGGTATCAGAAGATAAATGTGTTGATGTAGTATCTGTAGTTTGGTTATCCAAGATAACCCACCACGTGTTGGAGACTTGTAACCGGATTTTCGACGTGAGTTTCCCATATAACTCCTTGCATTACTCAAGAAATTAACATAATAATGATAATACAGTAGTAATAACTAGGGGTGCAATGAATCACAACTTCACGGTTCGGTTCGGTTTTCGGTTTTCACATTTCGGTTCGGTTATTTCGGTTCGAATATTCTGGCGATTCACATTACAAATCTTATAACACCAAACAGAAGTGCAAATTTAATAATCCAGACTGGTTTATAAATATTAATAATAATCTCACTAAGAATTCTTTGAAACAACAAAACGCTTTAAATAATACACGATACCCCCAATGTTAGGGGCAAATTCAACAAAACCTGCTAGCAGGAAATTCAAATATTTTGACTTCAAGTAAAAGTAAGCCAAATAGGCAAATATGTCGCCAATAGTCCATCTCAGTGTCTTGTAAGCTTCATTGATTAGGTGGTAACGAAGACAACAATCCGCAATTATTTGGCAAAGACAAAATGAAACGCGTTGACCTTCTCGTGCGCATGTAGCAAGTGGTCTATCAACTGTTATCTGCTCGCTGATTGGCCGACGCCCGTTTACGACAGCCACATTCGCAGTGCGCGGATATGCTCCAAAAGGCGTAATATATATCGAGTATATATAACAATATGGAACGGCCGAAACCGAAGCCCCGAAAACCGGCACGAGCGTTCGAATATATCCGAGATGGTGGTGCAAAACCAGCGGTTTTTCGGTTAACTGGGGCGGTTAACCAGTTCCACGACTAGGTAATAACCTAATAAACAGGCGTCGTGAATCGAAACAAGTAACACTAAATAATCGCACTCACGATCAAGGGTGGCAAGGAGGTTATGTTTTCAGCCGGCGTGTGTTCTGCTTGCAGTTTGTGCGTGCTAACAGCCTAACACTGAAAAAGTTATAACAGGATTGTCATAAGAATTTTTCAAGGATAGGCTCAGAATTGCCCCTACTTAAGAATTGATGAGACATTTTGGTGGTGAATCCGAATGCCAATTAATTGATTAAGTTAACATTAATAAAATTTTCAGGATAGGTAGACCCAAGGGGTAACTAGAATTGATTACATTTTGGGTGGTGATCCCGATCCACCATTAATTAATGTAATTAATACACTATTTCAAGGAATAGGTCATCGAATGGCGTAACTTAGAATTGATATAGCATTTTGGTGGTGATCGCGACTCCAATAATTTAAGGAGATTAATCAAAATTTTCAACATGAGAGAATTGAGCGCCTTGGCGCGAGGTCCTGTGCTCTCCGAGTGCTCCTAGTTGAATATATGATCCACTCGGAGAGACACCCGGAGATTACGCAGTCTTAAAGGCTGATTAGAACAGCTTGGGGACGTACTTGAAATTTAGGTCGTGCCCTTCCGATTAGAAAAAAAACATTGGAATAAATCCAGGACAAAAAACCACCTACTACGTACGGCCAATAAACATGTATCACAGAACACACGATCTGGTTTTTCATAGTAGTGGCAAATGTTAGACCAGTCAATTCGGGGTGATCCCTATAGACGCGGAAGGTCCGATAGACCCGAATATTGACAAGGGACCCTATAGACCGCCAGCGTCCGATAGACCGAAAGATTTCATAAATCATAGTAAAGATAACTTTCAGTTAATTGTGACCAAACACGTACACGCAGCACCAGCACACCGCACCACGCACCACGTACATCACAGGTCTACCACCAGACCACAGACCACGCACACCTCCACACTGTTGAGCGCCTACCGATGAGAACTTAGATTTATTATGACATCTGAATGACGATGTTGAGATATTCTACCGGTATACGTGGGAGCACTGGCCAGTGTGTGTGTGTGTGGTGTGTGTGTGTGTGTGTGTGTGGGCGTGTGCGTGTGCGTGTGCGTGTGCGTGTGCGTGTGCGTGTGCGTGTGCGTGTCGTGTGAGAGAGAGAGAGAGCTAGAGGTGCTGTGTGGTGAGAGAGAGAGAGAGAGAGAGAGAGAGAGAGGAGAGAGAGAGAGAAGAAGCGAGAGAGAATTGTCCGGTTGCGCAATCATTGCGTGTACGCGAGCTACTGCGAGATCACTGTCACAAGTGTGAGTGAGTGGATGTCCGGATGCGTAGCGGCCTGAGGCTCAGGCGACGCGGCACCACGCCGGGCCACACAAAGACTAAGCCCTTCGCGTATTCGAAAATGCATGCTTACACGCTTGAACACATAACCTTCGGTCTATATGGGCTGTACCCGGGGGTCAATTACAAAACTCATTATTTTACACTTATAATATTACATAAAATTACATCTAGCGCGGAAAGTATAACATGAAACACAAAATAAATACTATACAAAGTAATAGGAGGAGTAATTGAACAATACAGTCTTCTAGTTAGGACCCACTAGTCTTCTAATCAAGCCAGCTGGAAACACGCCAGTTGGGGCATGCCATAATGGTTTGGACCCATGCAATGCTAGTACTAGTCCACCTCCTCTTCCCCGTGTCGTGCACAGCATTGCTATCTTGCTGACCCGCAGCTTTACAATTCGCGTCTAGCGTTCAAGGTCAGCGGACGGGTTGTCGAGTTTAATAGTTGCGCATTGGAGGCGAGGGAGCCCTCCCTGCCAATTAGTAGGCCGTTTTTTCCCTCCTCATTTGGTGATCGCCATTATCATAATAAAATACTCTATGAAAAAATAATCTATATTTATCCTAATAACAATGTAATAGAATTATCTAACTAATCTGTAGCTGTAGGTTATTGTTAGCAATATTAATGTACATCCGTTAGCAGGCGGCACGGCTGCAGGTCATTCATTGACATGTAATACATTGTTAGCACGGGCCGGCTGGGGTAGGCTTATTGTTAGCATCAATGTAATAATTGTTTTACAGGGCACCGC